ATCATCTGTGTCGTGACAGGGTTTGTGAGCGTAGGAACTCAGCTGGCCGCCTATGCGTACGAGAAAAGCCTGACTGGATCTCTGGCGTTCCTTGCGGCCACCATGCTGGTGGCCGCCTCCCTGCACTGCCTGGAGGGCAAAACACGCTGTAGCAGCTGCACGGGCATGGGAGAGCATCGGCTGCCTGTGGCGAATCACGCTTGGGGGCCTGCTTCTGATTGAGAACCTGAACTAGAGTAGGCAAGCTGTACCCTTGTTGGGGTATGACAATCCACGTATATATATATATATATATACACGCATATATGTACACATATACACATATATATATATACATATACGTCCAAAAGGTTACCCTTTCCTTCCCGGAGATATTGAGAACTTTTCAGGATGGTTCCGTTGAACCATTTTTCTGCGCCTGGCCCTGCGGGGTCTTGGAGCATGAAGTCGACGGCAAAGCCGGGCTCAGATTTCAGAGTTGTAGTGGGGAGCTAGGTAGGCCCCTTGGGATATTGTACATTTTCCCTGATTGATGGGCTTAAGAGGATCATCTTCGGGAATATTTTTCAGAGGGTTTTGAGGGCCAGCCTAGGTGGGTGAATTGAGTTCAATTTTGGCTCCTGCGGAGCTCACATACGTCACTCTTTCTTCCGCGCTCTGTCGGCCCATAGATGGGAGTCAGCAGGTGCGGTGCTTGCTATGTGCAGCGTTTATAGAGGTGCGAGGGATTCATGTTGCGTGTTGCAAGATGCCAGAGCTTCTCGCAGATTCTCGCATGTCGGGAGGGAGCAACCCCAAACCTAAAACGTCGTAACACCTTCTAAAGCCCTAAAGCGTCCCCTAATGCGTCCACTAAAGCGTCCCCTAAAGCCACTAGCAGCTCCCTGTGTTCCCACGTGTTGCAAGGTCCCTCGTCTATTCGTGGGGCGTCTGTCCAGAACCATCGTGTGCGCGAACGCGCGCTCGATAATGTTCTACCCTGGGTGGAGCCGTCGCTCACCTCGTGAGTGAAGTACCTCCAGCCCATGGTGTTAGCAAGGCCACTCAACAGTTTTCCGGCGGAGTCATCACGCGCCACCTGCTTTGTGGCCTTGACTTTCAAGGACGTCGGGCAGAAGCCCCTGTTGTAGAATCCCCCTGGTCGGCTCAAGCAAAAACAGGCTTGAATCAAGCGCTCTAAGCCCCTCAACCCTAAATTCTAAACCCTAAGCCACACACCCGCCCTAAACCCGCCCTAAACCCCTAAAACCTAAACCCTAAACCCTAAGCCCTAAGCCCTCAGCCCTAACCCCCAACACTGCGTATCGCAAGGCGGCGGCGTGGGCGCCGGCCCTGCACCTGCTGGAGGTCCTGCGAGCCGAGAGGTTTGGGGTTTACTGTTTCGTTTAGGGTTTAGGGTTTAGGGTTTAGGGTTTAGGGTTTAGGGTTTAGGGTTTAGGGTTTAGGGTTTAGGGTTTAGGGTTTAGGGTTTAGGGTTTAGGGTTTAGGGTTTAGGGTTTAGGGTTTAGGGTTTAGGGTTTAGGGTTTAGGGTTTAGGGTTTAGGGTTTAGGGTTTAGGGTTTAGGGTTTAGGGTTTAGGGTTTAGGGTTTAGGGTTTAGGGTTTAGGGTTTAGGGTTTAGGGTTTAGGGTTTAGGGTTTAGGGTTTAGGGTTTAGGGTTTAGGGTTTAGGGTTTAGGGTTTAGGGTTTAGGGTTTAGGGTTTAGGGTTTAGGGTTTAGTGTTATACGGGTTTACTGTTAGGGGTCTAGGGGTTAGGGGTTCAGGGGTCTATGGGTTAGGGCTTTCGTGTTTGGGGCTTTGATGGGGCGCGAGATCCTTGTTCCCTGGGTTCTTGGAAGAAGTGACTCATACCTAAACCCCAAAACCCTGAACCAAAAACCTTAAACCCCAAACCCTAAACCCTAAACCCCAAACCCCAAACCCCAAACCCCAAACCCCAAACCCCAAACCCCAAACCCCAAACCCTAAACCCTAAACCCTAAACCCGAAACCCGCAAGTCGTAGCAGGAGCTGCGCGAAGCGAACGTGGAGACGGAGGTCTCGGAATTCACCGCCGTGGTGTTGGAGCCTTGGCCCTTCAGAGGTGCAACATCTTAAGTCTTAAGCCATGGAAATGAGTTTGGGGTTTAGGTTTTAGGCTTTAGGGTGTAGGGAAGCTATTTCCCAAGCAAAGGCCCAGCCCCAGGTGTAGGTGTGCTCTGTTAAACAGAACAAACCCCTCACACCCCATAAGCCCTGAAGCTTTCGACGACCTTTGAAGCCCCTGAAGGCCCACAAGAACTACCTAAACCCCCTACGACTTGGGATGTTCCCCTTATACGAACAGTCCAGTATAGTAGTACAATAGGAGGTACTATAAGCCCTACTAAGGACTGCAAGTAGAAGGGGGAACATCCCAACCTACGACCCCAAACCCGAGAATCGAAGGCATGTGAGCGTTCCTCGCAATGGATCGTTGGTCTGGAGAAATTTCTGGAGATGGCCCGCCGACTGCGATTTAGGGTTCAAATTTTTGCTCAGCCTCATTCGGCGGTTGAGATTGCGGTTGTGGGTTGGGTTGAAGATGTTAAGGCTTAGGTTTCAGGCCCTAAGCCCTGAACCCTAAACCCTAGGGTCTAAGCCCTACACCCCACACCCTATACCGCAGTGACACAAACAAGGGACAACAGGGGCGAGGGTGGGGGCCGGGTTCAGGCTTCAGGGCAATCCAACCACGGTGCTGTGACTGCTGGGTGAACGCAAACGGCGGTAAGGACCACCTCGCGCTGATACACGCGATACACTGCTCCGGCTGGCGGCACTCTGACACACCTCGGTGCAAGAACGGGCCTCTCAGCGTGCCGGCGTATCTTCCCTTCACCGAACTGCGGCGTGGCCTTAGGCCGGCATATCGGGCTCGGCGTATCCCGCCCTTCAACGTGCCCCGTTACGGTGTGTCGGCATACTTCTTCGTGTGGCGTATGGGCGTAACTCGATTTTCCGACTCTTCGCGCCCGTCCGTTGACACTTTGGACATGGCCCATGGCAGCAGTCGTTATCCATTTCTTGAAGCCCTGATCCTCCGAACTTGTGTTGTGTTGATCCTCATTTTGGTCCTTCACCCTTCATACTCGACACCACATTGCCAACGTGAGCTTAGTTTCGCGATATCATGGAGGTATGGCTACGAGCATAACGGAACTGCGAGCACCACTGAACGGTGATGTTTGAAGGATGTCTGGGTTCAGGGTTCAGGGTTTTGGGTTTAGGGTTCAGGGTTTAGGGTTTGGGGTCCCCTCTCAAACTAGTTCCTTTGAAGCTGCTACTACTGATGTTGTTTCCTCGCACAGCCAAACCTCGAAAGGCCGCATATTGAGACTGGATCATCTCTTGTAGTGAATTCGGGCAGCAGGGATTCAGCAGTAATTGCAGATGCACCCAAGCTTGAGCCCAACCGCTGTCTAGTACATGCTAATTCTGCAATGAAGCATGTGTAGGACATGCCAAGAGCCAGGTCGTTTGCCCTTGGGGAATTTGCCTCCAAAAGCTGAAGTGCCCCAAGGTCCCGTGCGAAGTTCGCCGAAACCCCCCTCAGCCCGAAGCCCTGTGTCCCAAACCCCAGGAGCTTGAGGCTAAACGTATCAGCATGCGAGCCTGCTATGTAAGAAGCATATATGTGTGATGTATATATATATATATACACACAACAGAGAACGAATTCGCAACAAAGGGAGCAATCGGCAGCCCAGTTAGAACCTGAGAGGCCCTGAGCACTAAACCTTTAAACCCTAAACCCTAAGCCCTGAACCCTGAACCCTGAACCCTAAACCCTAAACCCTAAACCCTAAACCCTAAACCCTAAACCCTAAACCCTAACCCCAAACCCCAAACCCCAAACCCTAAACCCTAAACCCTAAACCCTAAACCCCTAAACCCTAAACCCTAAACCCTAAACCCTAAACCCTAAACCCTAAACCCTAAACCCTAAACCCTAAACCCTAAACCCTAAACCCTAAACCCTAAACCCTAAACCCTAAACCCTAAACCCTAAACCCTAAACCTAATGAATCCCAAGGAGTCGCAGCTGCGCCCCGACCTCCGCGCCCACACCGCCGCGCTGCAGCGCCATGGTTTGGGGTGTGTTGTTAGGGTTTAGGGTTTGGGGTTTAGGGTTTGGGGTTTAGGGTTTGGGGTTTAGGGTTTGGGGTTTAGGGTTTGGGGTTTAGGGTTTGGGGTTTAGGGTTTAGGGTTTGGGGTTTGGGGGTGTAGGGCTTGCTGTGATAGGGCGTAGATGCTGTGCAGGTTAGGCTTTGGAACAAGCTCGAAAGCTTCGTGAGGCGCGAAGAGCAGTTTGGCGTGATTGTGGAAGACCATCTAACACTTTTCTCCCACCCCACGGGCAAAGCCACCCAAACAGATTCCTTTTAGGGTTCAGGCCTAAACTCAAGGCAGTCCACTTCTAAAAACTTCTTCCGACGTTTCGTGTCAGTGAGTCAGGGGGTTGTAAGAGGGTTCGTGGGTCCGAGAGCCACCCTGTCTCAGGGAAGGGGGTGTCGGGGGGGTTGCCAGGGTCAAGTCTGGGCTTGAAGCACCAAAAACGTGTAATTTTTGAGCACCCCTTGAGCAACCTGCGGTGAGGGACCGCCCTGGCAGAGGGCCTTGGAAGCAATGCCAGCCACGTTCTGGATCAAGGGGGGCGGTTTAGGGGTAATTCCTTGACATCGAACCCATGGTGGTGCTACCGACCGGCTTGCGCCGTTTGGGGTTTGGGGTTTAGGGTTTGGGGTTTAGGTTTGGGGCTTGGGGTTTGGGGTTTAGGGTTTGGGGTTTGGGGTTTAGGGTTTAGGATGTTTGCTGACAAACTTGGCAAGCAGATGTAGTAGCTTATTCGACTTCCTGATTATGTGAACCCTAAACCCTAAACCCTAAACCCTGAACCCTGAACCCTGAACCCTAAACCCTAAACCCTAAACCCTAAACCCTAAACCCTAAACCCTAAACCCTAAACCCTAAACCCTAAACCCTAAACCCTAAACCCTAAACCCTAAACCCTAAACCCTAAACCCTAAACCCTAAACCCTAAACCCTAAACCCTAAACCCTAAACCCTAAACCCTAAACCCTAAACCCTAAACCCCAAACCCTAAACCCTAGACCCGAAACGCTAAACACCCTAAACCCTAAACCCGAAAACCTAACTTTGCAAGCTCCCTTTGAAGGTGTGCTCGGAGTTGGCCCAGAGCTTTGGCGGCCCTGGGCGAGCTGGCGGGGCGGCAGATGGCGCCTCATCCGGCTACCCTTTTTTCTATTCTTTGTTTTTTCATTTCTTTTTTGTTTTTTGGTTGTATCTGTGTTTTATAAGGGTTTGGGATTTAAGAAATTCAGGGTTTAGTGTTAGGGGTTAAGGGTTTAGGGTTTGGGGGTTTAGGGGTGTAGGGGTTTAGTTAGGGTTTAGTGAGCTTGGGGAGTAGTGCAAGCGAATCCAGGAATCAGGGTTAGTAGGGTTGGGTTAGGGGTCAGGGGCAGGGAAGTAGGAGCAACGACCCCAAATCCTGTAGGGTTTAGGGTTATAAGCCCTGAGCCCTGAACCCTAACTGCTCAAGGATCCAAGGTTGTACCCCCAAGTTTGGACACCCCAAAGGGTGCCTTTACGATGCCCCCTACAAACCCAAAACCCGAAACCCTCAACCCCTCAAACCTAAACCCTAAACCCGAAACCCCTTGAACCCTATCTTGCTCAAACGGTCCCCAAAGTCCGGGGCGCAACCGCAAAGGGTCCAAGGCAAAATCGCTTTGAGCCGGGGGTTTGATGTTTAGGGTTTAGGGTTTATGGTTTAGGGTTTAGGGCTTGGCATAGCAAAGCCCCACGGGCCGGCCCTTAGACCCAGTTCAAGCTCCGACCCTAAACCATAGGAACCCTGAGGCCCTAAGCCCCTCAGCCCCTAAGGTCGGAGGGTTTAGGGTTTAGGTTTAGGGTTTAGGGTTTTAGGGTTTTAGGGTTTTAGGGTTTTAGGGTTTTAGGGTTTTAGGGTTTTAGGGTTTTAGGGTTTTAGGGTTTTAGGGTTTTAGGGTTTTAGGGTTTTAGGGTTTTAGGGTTTTAGTGTTTTAGGGTTTTAGGGTTTTAGGGTTTTAGTGTTTTAGGGTTTTAGGGTTTTAGGGTTTTAGGGTTTTAGGGTTTTAGGGTTTTAGGGTTTTAGGGTTTTAGGGTTTTAGGGTTTTAGGGTTTTAGGGTTTTAGGGTTTTAGGGTTTTAGGGTTTTAGGGTTTTAGGGTTTTAGAGTTTTAGGGGTTTAGGGGTTTAGGGTTTTTAGGGTTTTTAGGGTTTTTAGGGTTTAGGGTTTAGGGTAGTATGGTCCTGCCCTTATGGGGATCCGAAGTATGGGCCCTTAGTATATTATACACGGGTTATGATGTGTATATATATATATATAAGCTGGATTCTTACCCCGAGCAAACTGGAGGCCTACTTTTCGGGATTTTGGAGATGCAAAGCAAAAGGAGTGATGCGCACATCTGCGACACGTTAACCCCAAAACCACACCCTAAACCCTAAACCCTAAACCCTAAACCCTAAACCCTAAACCCTAAACCCTAAACCTAAATCCCTAAACCCTAAACCCTAAACCCTAAACCCTAAACCCTAAACCCTAAACCCTAAACCCTAAACCCTAAACCCTAAACCCTAAACCCTAAGCCCTAAGCCCTAAGCCCTAAACCCTAAACCCTAAGCCCTAAACCCTAAACCCTAAATCTTAAACCCTAAACCCTGAACCCTAACAGAAGGCAAAGGACGGAGGGGGCGAACGAGAGAAGAGGGGTCTAACAAATGCCCGCCAGCAGCAGCCCCCCTTTGCCTTTTGTTAGGGTTTAGGGTTTGGGGTTTAGGGTTTAGGGTTTGGGTTTTCTTGGTTTTAGGGGGTTTAGGGCCCTTGTTCTGGTGTGTGCAACCCGAACCTTGAAGTACGCAACCCTGAGCCTTGAAGCCGGAACCCAAAGCAGGAGCCCGACAGCCACTGCCACGTGTTGCTGCTCTCCAGCCTGGCGCCAAACGACTGGGAGCTGGGCTTTTCGGCGCTGGAGGCACGGCGGGGGGGAGGGGGGGGGATGGGAAAAGGATCTCCCGTTAAGCTTGGGGGATCCTCGAAAGCCATAGTTCAGGAGATCCAGAGGCTATCACGTGCCTTTGTAGTTATACTAGAAGAACCCCCCCCAAACCCTATTCACTAAGGCCCCTAGGATGGTGGGGCGAGGCGAAGAAGTCAAGACCCTAAAGCCCTCAAACCTAAACATCATCGAAGCCCGCATTGAAACATGAATCCTCGAGACTGTAAAACCCTCGACACCCTGTTCATATGCATACGTAGATAGATGTACTGATGTACTATGTAATTACATAGGTTTTGTACTATGTTATTACATATATGTATATTCTTGTAATCCTAAAATATGTTATAATATCTTACAAAAACATTCGAATACACTTTAGTATAAAGTATCCCTTAATCTTATTCCGTTATATGTACTCTCACCCTGAAGAGGGGGCCCTTACATCTTAAAAACAGATCCTATTCCCTCATTCCTTTCACTAAGCCCTAAAGGGTGGGATCCCGAAATCTTCATCCCCATCTTATTCCCTGACTATTTTTCCCTAAGTGCTATTCCCTAAGCCCCAAAGAGGGGTGCGTAAACCTTGAAGAGGAGAGCCCCTAGGAGAGCCCCAGATCCTAAAGATGCACGTCTGCAAGCCTAAACCCTAAACTTCTCTAAGCCTGAAACTAAAGCCTAAATCCGAAAGCAAAAATGACTTTGATTGCCTCATTCGTTTCTCTAAATCTTAAAGGGCGGGACCCCTCAATCTTATTCCCTTATACTTTCTCTCAAATCCTAATCCCCCCTTAAAGACATGTCCTATTCCTAAATCCTTTTCGCTAAGATTCAAAATTATTTTACTTCGAACATCCCCACCCTCTCTTGGCAGAGATACTCTGGGGTTGGGCGCTCCAGCAACACTCTGGGGCTGGGCACTCTGGGGACAATCTGTATATCCCTCCAATTCTAAAGAAGAAGATTTATTGCCGCCCCGAATTACGAGAACACGAAGAATCCAACCAAAATTAAAGATAAAAGAGAGGTTCATCCGAATACCTAAACCCTACTTCTAAAACTCAAATTTTTTATTCTATAAATTGAATCTTATTCATATAATGCAGGGATGAAGGGAAGAATTATGTTATATAATTATATAAGAGAAGATAATTTTATATCAACATATTTATGAATTTATTCATAAGGGAGACTCTGGGGTTGGGCACTTCAGGGAGACTTTGGGGCTGGGCACTCACTGTGGGGTTGGGCACTCTAGGGAGACTCTGGGGTTGAACCTCTGGGGTTGGGCACTCCAGGGAGACTCTGGGTTGGGCAGGGGTAAGAGACTCTGGGGCTGGAGTTTTCCGGGGTCAGGCACTCCAGGGACACTTTGGGATTCCAGGGATGAGCGAGGAGTGGGCGAGGAGAAGAGTTCCGGGCGAGGAGAAGAGTTGAGTTTAAGATCTAACAACCCCACACCGAGGGTGGGGAACAAGATGAAACGCATTCAAATGCATTCAAAACGCATTCAACTTGAATGCGTTTTGGATTCAAGGTTCAAGATTCAAGATGCCCGGGCAAATTCTCCCGGGCACCTTGAAGCTTGAATCTTGACTCCAAAAGTGCATTCAAGCTGAATGCGTTTTGAATGCATTTTGAATGCGTTTCATCTTGTTTCATTTTGTTCCGGAGCGAAACGTACGTGCTTGTGTATGCTAAACAAAGTATGTTTCGGGCTCGTCTGCTTGTTTACGTACTACAGAGCTTGACGCACTCACCCGATCCCAATAACCCACGCCTTTCTGCAGAAGCTGAGATTCTGGAAAAAGGCGTGGGTACATGCGGGGGGGTTACCGCAATGACATATATATATATATGTGTGTGTGTGTGTGTGTGTGTAGACGTGTATGTAGACTTGATTTTACTAGAACTACGTATGTGTCTGTATATATTTAAATATATATATATATATGTACATGTACGTATCTTCAAAAGCCCACGGATCGGCAGCATGTCGGCCCTGTGTCGAAGACCATGCCAAGCGTCGACTCCCGGCAGCTCGCCTCGCTCGCGCGCGCCGGCTCCGCGGTTTGGACGAGGCCTCCGGGCTTTGGGGCTTGAGGGCTTAGGGTCTCTTGGTTAGGGTTTAGGGTTTGGGGTTTGGGGTTTGGGGTTTGGGGTTTGGGGTTTGGGGTTTGGGGTTTAGAGTTTAGGTAGTTTTATCACTCTTTTACGGTTTATGGCGTACCTGATGCCCTACTTCCCTATCAAGAACTATCTTGAGGTAGGGGTTCGGGGGCACTACTGGCTCGAGGGTTGGGGTGGGGGGAGTACCGGTGCTTGGTTTTGTTCAGCCTGGGCTGGGAGGGTTGAGCCCCTAAGCCCGAAACCCTAAACACGCACATCTCGGAGGTCGCTGGAACTGATGCGCAACCGGCGGGATGCTTGCAACATCTACGTGTACAACGCACGGACCCTATCGTCTACTCAGGACAGAAAAAAATCACGCATATGATCTCAGTATGACTCTAAGGGCACTGTAAGATGCTTATGTATTTCTAAGCCGAGTTCAGCCATGTGTTTATCAGGGTGTTAAGGGGAGTTCGGACCTTGGATGACCGACATTGCCCTGCAACAACCCTTTCGGTGATGCCACGCGCTGTGAACGTCATGTTTAGGGTTTAGGGTTTAGGGTGTAGGGTGTGGGGTGTAGGGTGTAGGGTGTAGGGGTTTAGGTGGTTGAAGGACACGGACACTGCGAACCAGGGTACTGCCAACACGAGAGTACACGTTTGAGATTTTAATGCCCCCATGGCCTGTGTGTGGACTTGAGACAGGAAGGATATGGATAGCTATAGTTACGAAGCTTCAAACTCAAAACCTTAATCCCTAAACCCGTAGCCCTCCCCCCCGCCCCCCTCTCCCCCCATATTCAAGCCCCTAAGCCCCGAAGCCTCTGAGTCTCCAAGCCCCCAAGCCCCAAGCCCTAAGCCCCAAGCCCTAAGCCCTAAGCCCTAAGCCCTAAGCCCTAAGCCCTAAGCCCTAAGCCCTAAGCCCTAAGCCCTAAGCCCTACGCCCTACGCCCTACGCCCTACGCCCTACGCCCTAAGCCCTAAGCCCTACGCCCTAGCCCCAACCCCAAGCCCAAGCCCCCCACCCCAAGCCCCACCCCAAGCCCCAATCCCCACCCCAAGCCCTAAGCCCTAAGCCCTGAGCCCTGAGCCCTAAGCCCTAAGCCCTAAGCCCTAAGCCCTAGGCCCTAAGCCCCTAGCCCTAAGCCCAAGCCCTAAGCCCTAAGCCCTAAGCCCTAAGCCCTAAGCCCTAAGCCCTAAGCCCTAAGCCCTAAGCCCTAAGCCCTAAGCCCTAAGCCCTAAGCCCTAAGCCCCAAGCCCTAGCCCTCAGCAGCCCTCAGCAGCCCTCAGCAGCCCTCAGCAGCCCTCAGCAGCCCTAAACCCTAAACCCTAAACCCTAAACCCTAAACCCTAAACCCTAAACCCTAAACCCTAAACCCTAAACCCTAAACCCTAAACCCTAAACCCTAAACCCTAAACCCTGGACCCTATTGTCGTTCTGAGGCTCTGGCTGCTAGTGTTGCTCCCTGGCCGTGTGCCGTGGCGCTTCTCAGTGTGGCGGCGGCGGGGCCTTTTGAGGGAGGAGTTTAGGGTGTAGGGTTTAGGGTTTAGAGTTTAGGCTTTAGGGCCTTGGGTTTAGGGGCGTTTAGGGTTTTGGGGCTGGGGTTGAAGGTTTTAGGGCTTAGGGGGGTTTCCATTGTGAACAAAAAGTGGCGCTGCGCTTGGGGGTTTAGGGTTTAGGGTCTCGGAAGCCCGAAGCCCTGGGCCCCAAACCCGAAACCGCAGCCGGTTTAGGGCTGTAGGGTTTAGGGTTTAGGGTTTAGGGCTTTGGGGCTTTAGGGCTTACGGCAGTTTAGGGTTCAGGGTTTAGGGTTCAGTTTAGGGTTTAGGGTTCAGGGTTCAGGGTTTAGGGTTAAGTTTAGGGTTAAGGGTTCAGGGTTTAGGGTTCTGTCACGAATCAAAGGTTCAGCGGCCTGGCTGTCTCGTCGCCTTTCTTAACTTTCCCTGAAGGCCCACTCCGCGCGCATCTTCGTGCAGTCGATTCTTTTCGCTTCGGATCGTGCGTTCGGAACATATCAGTCAGCTACTCGACGGGAGCTTCTTACCCAGCCCTCATCCTCTCAAGGCCTCAAGCCCAACTTCTGAAACTCTGAAACCCTCTACGAGCTGTTTCGATCGAAAGACCCGGATGGCTCTTCAGGGTTCAGGGTTCGGGGTCTAGGGGTTAGGTTTTAGGGTTTAGGGTGCCTAAATTTAGGAGCCTCCGGCTCAGGCCGCCGACCCAAGAGGCCCGAAACCTCTCAACCCTCAAAGCCGGAAATTGTTGTTACCCTAAAGCCTAAACGCTAAACTCTACACCTAAACCAGGGTTCGGGGGTTTGAGGACGTGTTGTGGGAATGGGGGGGTAGAGGCTTCGAACTGTTGGAGTTGGCGTAAGGTTGCAACATAGGCAACCCCCTGGGTGGGGGGGTGCGGGGGGAAAAGGGGGGGTGGGGGGGGGGGGGGGGGGGGGGGGGGTGGCGGTGGGGTGGGGGGTTTGGAGGGGTTGCCAAAGGAGCCCCTACCCCCCTTTCTGGCTGGTCGATGCGTTTACGTTGCGGGCAGTCCTCCATGAAAAAGTTGTGCACCGACTTTCACCACCCCCCCCCCCCCCCTTTTAAAGTTTTTGGGGGCGTAAGGGAGTTAGATAATGAGAGGTGGAAGTGTGTGAGGTTGAGTTTTCCTGCGTGTCCTACGAAATCTGGCACGATGTGCCGTTTTTTTTGCTAAGCTGCAAGCCCCAAACCCCGAACGCGAGACACGCGTCGAGTCGGTCAGGACAGTCTGGAGGGGCGGGCTGGTGTGGGGGGTGTTGGGGGCGTGGGGGGGGGGGGGTGGGTTGGGAGTGGGGGGGGGGGGTGGGGTTTTGGCCTCCTGTGCTGAAACCGCCTATGGTCGACGCGTTTACGTCGTGCGGTGTGGCGGTCCTCAAAAAATTGTGCACCGACCCCCCCCCCCCCCCCCCCCCCCCCCGGTTTTTGGATTAAAACCATCCAACACGCCGTCAGGGTCGGCGGACCCCATGGCCCAGAATCCTATGCCCCGAAACCCCCTTGAAGCCCAAACCCTAAACCTCTGCCACGGGCAGGCGTGTGGACTACAACTTGACGCCGTAGGGCAGCATGGCTTGGATATGCAACGAAGGATTTAGGCTTTGTTACTGAGCGTCTGAGAGGGAGAGAGAGAGGGAGGGTTGATGCAGAAGAAGAACAAGTAGAAGACGAAGAGGAAGAGGAGGAGGAAGAAGAAGAATAAGCAGAACCAAAGGAATTGTAACAAGAAGAAACAGCAGAACTTTCACCTACTCGCGCACGCGCGCACACACACACACACACTCACACACACACACACACACACACACACAGACACACACACACACACACACACACACACACACACACACAGACACACACACAGACACACACACACACACACACACACACAGACACACACTCACACACACACTCACACACACACACACACACACACACACACACATGACTCACTGAACTGCTTCGCCATGGCAGCCGGGTTCCTCTCTTGGGGGGGGCGGCTCTCGAGCGTGCAAAAGGGGAAGAGGGTTGAGGGCGACGTTCTTACAAGCTAGAAGTTGCATTCATTGTCTGTTATCGGAGTTTCTGAGAGGGCTCGGGATTTACACGGGGCTGTGGCTCTCAGGTTCTGCAGGGCCAGGCCCACTGCCTGCTTAGGTTCCCAAGCCCGAAGCCCTGAACCTAAGCTTTGAAGCCCCGCATCCTGAACCCCCAGCCTGCTCAGCCATGCCCGTTCTCTTGACACCCGAGGTACTGTTCCGCCGTCTCCGCAAGCACTGACGCCACCTGCTGGGGGCACGCCCTGGAGCTGTTTTGGGATAGCTGGGCAAGGACTCCGGTTGAGGGAGTGCCATCAACCCTAAACCCTAAACCCTCAACCCTAAACCCTAAACCCTAAACCCTAAACCCAGGGTTCCCTAGTGTGCCCTGTTCTGGCGGCCCCCCCAAGCTTCTTGAAGGTTCCCAATTCCCCTCCACTCCCTCCTGAGAGTAGGCACCCTTCTAGAAGCATTCCCTTCCCCTTCCGCCAGAGAGTCCCATGTGCATTCCCAGCACTCTGGGCCGAATGTGTCAGAACTACGCCAGGACTATTGCACCAGACGATGCGCTGGTCGGCGCGGCAATGCTGGCGAGTGGGAGGGTCTGAGTGAGGTGTCGTTTAGAGTTTGTGTGCGGAAAGACGGCTTGCCTAGCAAGACGGGAAGCCCCCCCCAGCAAACCGGAAGATCCTGTCTCAGAACGCTCATGGCGTTGGGTATGATTTGCAGGAAGCATTGGACTTTTCTAAGTGTGGTAGGGTTTAGGGTTTAGGGTTTAGGGTTTAGGGTTTAGGGTTTAGGGTTTAGGGTTTAAGGTTTAGGGTTTAGGGTTTAGGGTTTAGGGTTTAGGGTTTCGGGTTTCGGGTTTAGGGTTCAGGTTCAAGGTTTGACGTTGAGAGTTTTCAGGTTTCGAGAGTCTCCGGGCCCCAAAAATGTTTGCCGAAGGCTCGGCTCCAGCGCTACAGGTTTCATCCGGGCATCCTCTGAACCTTAACAGGCCCCAATTTTCCCTAAATCCGTCATATACATACATATGTGTATGTATGTATGTATGTATGCATGCATGCATGCATGCATGCATGTATGTATGTATGTATGTGTGTATATATAGATCTGCGACCACACACCTATACGCACATGTGGTACAGAAACAACATGTATGATATGATATGATCTGATATGATATGATACGGCATGTACATCGGCCCTTTGTGTACCCCGGTGTGCTTGCAGGCCTCCCCACCGCCCCTGCTGGGCGCCCTGCGTTCCTCGTTGCGGCGCGGCGGCGCCCGCGTCGGCGCCTCGGCGTCGGCGGCGGCGGCCCTGGCGCTGGCGCGGCGAGACTGCGACCCGGTGGGGTTTGGTTTTAGGGTTTAGGGTTTGGAGTTTAGGGTTTGGGGTTCTGGGGTTTAGGGAGTTTAGTGTTTAGGGTTTAGGAGTTTAGGATTTAAGGTATTAGGACGGTTGAGGGTTACGCTATGCTCCGGTGTAGGGGATGAAGATCACCGCGAAGGGAATGCGCGGGTCGGCCATGGTCGGCCCTCGGCCTCTTGCACGGCCTTTTGCGCGAGGGGACCCCAAGAGCATCTTAAACCCTAAGCCCAAAACCCTCCAGACCCTGCAACTTGAAATCATTCAAACGTCCGGCCATGAAACCCTTAGTAATTTCAAAGGAGATGGCATGAATTGAGTTTGAGTCAAAGAAACTCCTCGAAACTTTCCGAAGCTCCCCGAAACTTTCCACGGACCTGAACCCTCAAGCTATCAGTTTCAATAAGCCCTAAACGCCATAAACCCTAACCCTAAGCCTACACCCAAACCCTAAGCCCTAATAAGCTCTCAAACCGACCCAAAGCCCTGGACACCAGGCGAGGCTGCCATGGAGCTGGCCGAGCAAAGCTCCCCAGGCTACGGGGGAGATTTCTGAGAGTTTTTAGGGTGTAGGATTTAGGGTTTAGGGTTTAGGGTTCAGGGTTAGGGTTTGGGTTTTAAATGCGCTGAAGAGCTCAGAGTGTGCGGGAGTCGAAAGGTTTTTTGAAAGGTTTGGGGTTTTCCATACCACGGCTGGGACCTCTGGAATACCTGAACTTCAACATGCGCCATAGCTAGACGTGTGAGGTTGAGGTTGCTCTCTTGAACAGTCACTGTTGACTGGGATGATGAACGCTTCCCCGGGTTGCTTTGGACCTAAATTTAGTCAAGAGAGAAGTCGGAATAATTACTACTAGTATTCCCTCATATTCCCTTGAGGAATATGCTAAAAAGAACCCCCAAAACCCTATCCTAATTGTTAAGCCCCCTGTATTGCCACATGTAAAACTCACATAGTTCAAGGTTTTGCCCCCCACCCCCAGCTTGGGGTGTAGGGCTTAGGGTCGAGTTAGGGGTTTACGGCATAAGTTTACAACTTCAGGATTAGGGAAAATTCCTCGGAACTGTCGGCAATTTTGAACACGAAGCAGATGCGGAGGGCTCCGTTTGTCACATGCATCTATTCGTACATACTTACAGACATGTACGTCAATGCGTATACGCCTATATACTTGTATACTTGTATACTTGTATACCTGTTTACTTGTATACTTGTACACTGAACTTGTCTGCTTATATGTGTATATACATTTATCTGTATATATATATATGTCTATTCTTATATGCATACCTACAGATTTACAGATACGCATGCCCGTGTTTAGTTTCAAACTTGCATACCGTTTTGTAGACCTATGTACGTTCAGTTTTTCTACATTGTCAGATATACAGATATAGACATGTACATGTTTAGATATACACGTGTTCACACAAATACGCATCAACATATTTGCATATCTATGTATCTGCATATGTATGCATGTATGTATGCATGTATGTATGCATGTATGTATGCATGTATGCATGTATGTATGCATGTATGCATGTATGTATGCATGTATGTATGTATGCATGTATGTATGCATGTATGTATGTATGTATGTATGCATGTATGTATGTATGTATGTATGCATAGTATGCATGCCTCTCCAAGATAGCCTCATGTAGCCCGGGGCCCTTATTCGGATCGCCCTCCCCTTAAGGCATGTGCCTGGACATTAGTAGAAGCACCTGCTTCAGGACCATTGGACGAGGTGGGAGCCGCAGTGAAGTTTTTGGTGGGATGTGAGATGCCTGCCGTGAGTCTCATGAGGGCCCAGAACTTCAACACATGTTGTGGTTTCGGGTTGAAGGTTCAAGGTTTAGGGTTTGGTTTAAGGTTCGAGGTTTGGGGTTTAGGGCCGGTCTCACGTCTGACCGTGATCAGGCGCTGGTTGCGAGCCTGGTTACCGCAGCGTGCGGCGCCACGAGGTGACGGGGCCGCGACCCCCAAACAAAGGGCCCCGAACGTTGGGACTAGCAGCCTCAAAACGGTGGGGTCATCGGGGGGAGTGTAGGATCCGATAGTTTAGGGTTCAGGGTTTAGGGATTTAAAGACCCGAAACCCTGAACCCTAAACCCTAAGCCCTAGGCCCTAAATCCTTAACCCTAAGCCCTATGCCCCAAACCCTAAACCCTAAACCTTAAACCCTACGCCCTAAACCCTACGCCCTACACTTCGAGGTGGTTCTCCGCCCTGACCGCCCTGCGTCGCTTGGCGCGCCGGCGGCCGCGGACCCTGAGAAGGCCAGGCTTTTCGGTTGCGAGGGTTTCGGGGGTTTAGGGTTTAGGGTTAGTTTGTTTAGGGTTTAGGGTTTAGGGTTTGGGGTTGAGGGTTGAGGGTTTAGGGTTTAGAAGGTTTAGGGTTTAGCGTTTAGGGGGTTTAGGGTTTTGGGGGGTTTAGGGTGTAGGGGGTTTAGGGGGTTTAGGGGTCTCAGGGTTTAGGGGGTTTAGGGGTCTTAGGGTTTAGGGGGTTTAGGGGGTTTAGGAGGTTTAGGGGGTTTAGGGGGTTTAGGGGGATTAGGGGGATTAGGGGGTTTAGGGGGTTTAAGGTTTAGGGTTTAGGGGATTTAGGAGGTTTAGAGGCTCTTAGGGTTTGTGGGGGTTCAGAGTTGAGGCGGGCGAGGGTGGTTGAAGGTTTGGGGTTTAGAACTTCAGGGCTTTCGGGTTGGAACTTCGGGTTGCCATGTAGGGCCAAGAGGACTAATTGCTAGGGTGGGTGGGTGGGCAGGTTTAGCGTGTAGGGTTCAGGGTTCAGGGTTTGGGGCTCAGGGTTTAGGTTTTAGGGTGTTAAGTTGGGAGTAGTACAGGATTCCATGAAAAAATAAGAAGGGGCAGCAGCGAACGTTTGTTCGAAGTAGAACAGCTGACACAGGATGCTCGTTTAGCAGGTACGGTGGGGTTTTAGGGCTCACGTGGTGAACGCCTTAACCGTTAACCCAGGATTTTTTGGAGAGATGGGACTCACTGATGCCCGGAACCATCCGGAACCCGAAACCCTAGACTCCTAGACTCCTAGACCCCTAAACCCTAAACCCTAAACCCTAAGCCCTAAGCCCCAAACCGTAAACCCAAGCCCTAAAACCCTAAACCCTAAGCCCCAAACCCTAAACCCTAAACCGTAAGCCCTAAGCCATAAACCCTAACCCTAAACGCTAAACCCTACACCCTAAGCCCCTAAACCCTAAGCCCTAAACCCTAAAACCCGAAACCCTAACCCCCTGAACCCTAAACTCTAAACCCAAAAACCCTAAAACCCTAAGCCCTAAACCCTAAACTCCAAACCCTAAACCCGAAACCCTAAGCCCTAAGCCCTAAGCCCCTAAACCCTACACCCTAAACCTTAAGCCCCTAAACACGGTGATGCTGGAGAGGTCGGGGCCGGTGAGTGCAGCAGCTGCGAAGGTGCGAGCCGATGTGCGGTGTTGAGGGGGAGCCTTTAGGGTTTGGGGCGGGGGGGGGGGCTTTAGGGTTTAGGGTTTAGGGTTTGGGGTTTAGGGTTTTGGGTTTAGGGCTTAGGGTGTAGGTTTTTGATCAGGATCGAATAACCTTCCTTTGACAACGTCGCGGGATGCCAACGAGAGCTCAGCATGTCGATCAAGGTTCACAAAGAGTGGGAACCCCTTTTCGGCTCTCTTTTCTAGACCCCTTTTTTCTAGTTGAAGTTGCCGGAATCCCAAACCCCAAGCCCTCCCTTTAGAACCCCCTCCTTGTGAAGTCCATCATCGAGGTGAGGAAGCGGTTTGTGGTTCGAACTCGCAAGCCCCCAGGCTTTTGCTGACGGGGCCTGCTGGGCCCAATCGCTGGGCCTTGCCTGGGATCTGGTGGCTGCAGGCTGGTGGTATTTTTTCGGGTTTAGAGTCTGGGGTTCCCTCCCCGATCCCGCGCGCTGAACCGCGTCTCGCAGAAGTCTGGAGTTGGCTCTTTCTCTGGCAGATCCTTGTGAGGCTCTGGCGCGTCAGAGGCCTGCGGGAGCATTTTGCGTGAGGGTGCAGGTAGCAGACGCTGAGCGTTGTGATGCTCTTCTTTCGGTATGAGGCCTATGCTCGCTGATCCGCTGCAGCTTCTTTCATGTTCACTTACACGTGCCTCCTGGCACTGGAAGGCGTTGTTTTTGCCATAGCCATGGTTGCATGGTTAGCGTAGGCAGCTGAATTTGAAAAAGACCGGACATCACGTTCCTACCGCCCCGGCAAGGTCTTTGCAAACGCCTTGAAGGGCCTGGATCGGGTGCCTCCTGCACAATTGGAAGAAGGTTTAGGTTTGGGGCTTAGGGTTCCCGCTCCTCTACTTCTCTTACCTACCTGAAGGGTCTCTTTTTGCGGTGGTTGAACATAAGGCGGCCCGGGGGCACGATGCTTCTATAAGGTGTATTCCTTAAGGGGGTATTGGGCTCTCTGGGTAAGCTCCCTTACCCACCCTAAACCCTAAACCTAAAACCCAAACCCTAAACCCTAAACAGTCCTTGAAAAGGCCCTGCCCCCCCCCCCCCCCCCCCCCGCCCCCCCCCCACCCCCAGACTTCGCCAGGCCAGTTGCTGGGAGCGCGGGCAACGCCTCTTCGAGGAAGTGTTTCGGGCCGCAGGGTTTGGGGTTCAGGCTAAACCCTAAACCCTAAACCCTCAACCCTAAACCTTAAACCCTACACCCTAAACCCTAAAGCCGGGGGCGAGGGGGTTTAGAGGGTTTGGGGAATTGCTGGGTCCAGACGAGTTTGGGGTTTGCCTGGTCGTGGGTCTGGGGATCAGGGGGCCAGTTTGGGAACTGGGTGGCGGTGTTTCTGCTATGCTATGACCTAAACCCTAAGCCCTAAACCCTAAACCCTAAGCCCTAAACCCTAAACCCTAAACCCTAAACCCTGAACCCTGAACCCTGAACCCTGAACCCTGAACCCCAAACCCTTTTTGAGGGACCACAGGAGTGAATCCGGTCTCACTACCCTGCAAAGGTCCTGACGCTTCTGGTGTGCATAGAAGTTGAAGCGACCTTTAGGCCGCTGGGTTGTGTCTGACTGTAGGGTTGATGGTTTAGGGTTTAGGGTTTAGGGTTTAAGGTTTAGGGCTTGGGGTTTAGGGTTTAGGGTTTAAGGTTTAGGGTTTGGGGTTTAGGGTTTAGGACTTAGGGTTTAGGGGTTGAGAGTAAGGTTTTGGGGAGGACCTGCGGCTTTGGCGCAGTGAGCTGGATGCCGTGTGCTACAACTGCGCCGTGACCACATGCAGACAAGGCAGGCAGCGACCCGCAAGGGCACGTGACTTAGGGTTTAGGGTTTAGGGTCCAGGGTTTAGGGTTTAGGGTTTAGGGGTGCATCTCTTATCGGTAGTAGCAGCCGTCTCTTGGCCATTGGTGCATTTTCTCAGTTTCCTGACGGTACCTTGGCAGCTCTCGCCCCTTCTGCGGCTGGGTCTCCTAGTGGGAACAAGAAGGGGACCAGCGTGTCGAGACGCATCATACGCGCCCCTTAAACCTGGGCCGACTTGAAGAAGGGGATCCCTTGATACGGGTAAAAAATCGAGATGTTTATTGGAGGTTCTAAACGCAGCTAACCTTAAGCCTTAAGCGATGAACCCTAAATCCTAAACCCTAAACCCTAAACCTTGTACAAGGGTACCCCGTACCTGAGAGGACCCTCAGTTCCCAGCTGCCCCAGAGAGGCCAGCAGTGGGAGCTCGCCATGTCGCATAGCGACGCCAGCCGCGCATCGCACGCCTCAGCTCGCCAGGCCGCACTTGCTTTTGGATACCCTAAACTCGAGACCCTAAACCCCAAGCCCTAAGCCTTAAGCCTTAAGCCCGAAGCCTTAAGCCCTAAGCCCTAAGCCCTAAGCCCTAAGCCCTAAGCCCTAAGCCCTAAGCCCTAAGCCCTACGCCCTACGCCCTACGCCCTACGCCCTACGCCCTAAGCCCTAAGCCCTACGCCCTAAGCCCTAAGCCCTAAACCCTGGAGGGTTTGGAAGGTTTAGGTTCTTCCAAACTGTGAGAAGTGTGTACTCTAGGCGCCGGAAGAATTACTAGTAGTATTCCCTCCTAGTCCCTATATGAGCCCCAACATCCATGTCCCTCAGCTTAACAAGTAGTATTGACCGCTGCTCATTTAGTTCAACTATCATATCTCCCAAAACCTTTTTTTCGTCACTAAGGCCCCTTTATCATGACCTTGCTGCTGCGTCTAAGCCCTAAACCCTAAACCCTCATGCCCATGAGCTTCGGCATCTGGGGGTCCACAGAAACTGTGGACCTGCGATGGGTCTCCAGAATTTCTTACGGCTTAGGGTTTCGGGTTTAGGGTTTCGGTTTTAGGGTTTAGCAACCTGGAGGAGGTTCGCGATGGCTGACTTCTTCAAAGAGCTGGAGCATGAATTAACAGAGTGTAATGCTGTACGAACATCAGAACGTACGAAAAGAGTCATATAATCACATAATCATTTCATCATATAATCGTATACTCATATAATCATATAATCATATAATCATGTAGTCATGTAGTCATGTAATCGTGTAATCATGTAATCATGTAATCATGTAATCATGTAATCATGTAATCATGTAATCATATAATTTATCATCATATAACCATATAATCATGTAATCATGCAATATTCTCATCATATAATCTTGAAACCATATGTTGTCACCCACTCCCCTCCACCTCTCCCCACCCACCCACCCCGTGATGCCCCGACCTGAGGAATGTCGAGACAGCCTAGGGCTTGAACCTTCTTGTTTGTGCGCCCGAAACACTGAACCCCAAAGAGGATCCCATCCTTTTCGGCGGTGTTGTCGCGGCCTGCGGCCAAGGCGCCGTACTTAGTTGTCCAGTATCCTAGAGGAACTGAAGGTTAACCTTGGGGATTGTATAGGGACTGTAATTCCCAGAAAGGTTAAAGGCTACTTACTCTACTACTGAGATTCGCTCCACATCGGCAGAGGCCTTTTTTCTGATCTGATCCCTCACATGGAATCCGACCCCTTCAACCTCCGAACCACAAACTGATTGCTCACATACGCCCTCAAGTCCGTACGCAGACCATATGGCCATGCAATGACCAAGAACACGACGGAGTTGACTTTTGTCTCATGGTATTCGTGCTTGGAAGAATATCCAGGCGCATGACCTGGTTCGTCTGTTTTCACATCTTCAGGGCAAAAGGAAAACAAACGCCGACCACATCCTCAAACAGCAAAGAACCGTTTCGTTCTCAAGGACACAATCCTTGGGACCTCCAAGTGGTGCTCTGAGTCTCCCACAGAAAAGTTGGAACTGCCAAAGTGACGCTGGCTGTCGGCAGCTGTACGCAGCACATGGCAAACGCAGAAAGGAAATGTCACACGGGTAGTTCTCTACACTAGGACCCTTTATATGCCGCCATGTACAGGACCCAATAAAGGGACCTGAATTTAGAGAACTGCCCGCATGGAAAAGTGCCAATGCGTTGTGGATACTACATCTACTGTGCCAACTGCTGAACGAATTGAACACCCTTACACAGCATAGGTGGCCCCCCCAGACATAAACCCTAGGGTTTAGGGCTTTGGGCGGTTTAGGGTTTAGGCTTCTAACCCGAAACCTTAAACCCTAAACCCCTAAGCCGAAACCCTCGAAACCTCAAGGCTACATGCCCTGAGGCAGTGCCTGGGCCGTGGCATCCGAGCTCCTGCGCTCTGCTGGCCGCGCGCGGGCGAAGCTCGACCTGGTGCCGGGCTTAAAGTCAGGGGCTTGCGGGTTTAGGCTCGGGGTTTAGGAGCTAGAGCCCGGAGCCCTAAACCCTAAACCCTAAGCCCTAAGCCCTAAGCCCTAAACCCTAAACCCTAAACCCTCAACGCAAAGGACTCTGCAACAAGCTCGGGGCTGTGCCGCATCGGGTCGAGTCAGAGAGCCCAGGCACGAGCCCGAAAAGCCCACCTCAAACCCTCACTGCCCTTCTAAGGTCGGAACCATGGGCCCTTAGTATGGTCCCTTGGCCTTACCCTTGTCTACAGGGATCCGAAGTGTGGGCCCGTATTCTGAAGAGTGTAAGTAAGGGTTATATAACAAGGGAGCCAACTTAAGGGCCCGGCCCGCCATAGAGGCATTTCCGAGAATAGGCAACCTCAAGCGTGCACCCAAAATGCTGTAGTCCTCCTCATCGGACCCCACAAAAGGGACCCTTCGCCCGAAACCCTAAGGGATTCCTTCTCAACCCGAAACCCTAAACCCTAAACCCCAAAGCCCTGCTGTCACCCCATCGCCCCTCCCTCTCGGCCAAGGTTCTGCTCTCCAGCGCCTGCACGGCGTCGGAGAAGGGTTCCGTCCCTCAGAGGGATCCTCTACCCATAGGTTTAGGGTTTGGGGTTGAGGGTTGAGGGTTGAGGGTTGAGGGTTGAGGGTTGAGGGTGTAGGGTAGGGGGAATCCCGACTACTTGGGTAGGCCCTTGGGATATTTTCATATGTTCCCTTTCTGGTGTTTAAGAGGATCATATTTGATTGGGTTTAAGCGGTCATGTTCGGAATGATGTTGATTTTCCCTAATTGGGTTTAAGAGGGCCATATTCGGGGAAAAATCTGTATTTCCTCGTATTGGGTTTGAGCGGATCATAGTTGGGACGCTATGCTCTATTAAGGGTTACACCTGTTTTCGGAAATGCTCATAGTTACTACCGGCGAATCCCAACACTTAATCTCATTATGCCCCGGCCCCAGGACATCACATTCGTCCAAGACTCACTATCCCAAGGCCCCAAAATGGGTTCGCCCACCATTCTCTTCGGATCCCAGCCCTGAACCCTGAACCCTAAACCCTAAACCCAAAATGTTCAATGTCGTCGCCCCAGGTTGAAAGCCCCAAGCCCGCCCTCTGATTCCCTAAGCGCGAAACCCAAAACCCGAGGCCCAAAACCTTAAACTCCAAGCCCCAAACCCCGAACCCTCAACCCTCAACCCTAAACCCGAAACCCCAAGTGAGCTGAGGGGGCCGCTGGGAGGACGCGCTGAGAGCCCAAGAGGAGACGTCGGCCGCCGGAGTGCCAGGGGACGTGGCCGCGCGGTTTGCCTTTCGTCATTTTGTGTGGTTCAGGGTTTAGGGTTTAGGGTTTAGGGTTTAGGGTTTAGGGTTTGGGGTTTGGGGTTTGGGGTTTGGGGTTTAGGGTTTAGGGTTTAGGGTTAGTTTTCTATTACCGTGATGCTGCTGATGATTAGCTATGTACATCTCGCGCTAACCAGGCGAGCAGACCCAGTAGCGGGTTTCAACATTTAAGGGCTGGGTCGCCAAAATCTACCCGAGTTTAGACAGCGGGGCCTGGTAGGACAAGCAAACCAACCCTAGAAAACCCTATGCCCCAAACCCTAAACACTAAGCCCTAGACCGACTCGGGCTTTGTTTTCGTGCATGGGAGTACTTGGGAATCCTTGCAGTCAAGTCCAGCTTTGAGCGTAACCAGCGGGTGGCACCTGAACAAGACAAAGAGTACCACGGCGAAGTGGGAGAGAAACACATGCTGGGATGTGAAAGAAGCATGTCCTACCATGCGGATGCCCTCATCACGTGGGTCAAGGCAGACGTGGCCCGTGAGTAAGCAACTTTGTGGAAGGTGGTGTTCAAAGTAAGGCCTGCAGGTACGTTGCTTTTTTTGATGCCCATTTCAACGAGGATGTGGCAGCTGAAAGCACCCAGACACAGCGAAAGAGCAAGTACCTGGTAGAGATTAAAGGATGCCGGCCTCGGAGGTTGCCAAATATGTGGAAATGCTCCCTCTTACGTCTCTCTGACTCCTCCTCGCTCAACCCTCGGCCTTAGTCAAGCTCCCTCAACCTTGCACCCCAAGTCTCTAAGCCCTAAACGAATAAGCTTTGAGCACAAGACCCTCATCCCCATGCTGGCCCGGCCCCCACTGCCCTAAACCCTAAACCCTAAACCCTAAACCCTAGCCCCTAAACCCTAAACCCGAAACCCTAAACCCTAAACCCTAAACCCTAAATCCTAAATCCCTAAACCCTGAACCCTAAACCCTTAATCCCTAAACCCTAAGCCCTAGATCCTAAATCCTAGAAGGTCCTCCAGAATGCAGCCTTGGCTGCTTCGCCGCACTGGCCCACCTCGTTGGCCTTGCTCCAGCAGGCGCCCGTTTAGGGTTCAGGGTTTAGGGTTTAGGGTTTAGGGTTTAGGGTTTAGGGTTTAGGGTTTAGGGTTTAGGGTTTAGGGTTTCTAAACCCTCGAGCCGCAAGCCTAAACTCCAAACCCTGAACCGAGGGGGGGGGGTGGGGTCTGGCGGGTGATGGGCTGAGGGCTTTGTTTTCCTGATTTCGCGGCCCTTTTTGTGGAGAAGCCTGGGCTGTGACTCAAGGCTTGTGCAGAATTAGCTTAGGGTTTGGGGTTTGAGGTTTGGGGTTAAACCCCCAACAGGGTGGTGGTGCTCCTTTACTATGATAGGGAACCTGCGAAAACCCTTAACCCTAAACCCCTAGACCCCTCCTACCCACAGTGCGCTACTCTTTCACGATGCAGCTGGGGTCGGCAGAGACCCTACCCCCTAAACCCTAAACCCTAAACCCAAAACCCTAAACCCTAAACCCTAAACCCTAAACCCTAAACCCTTACCCCTAACCCCTAATCCCTAAACCCTAAACCCCAAATCCGAAACCCCAAAGGTCGGGGATGCCACCGTGGTCAGCTTTAGCGCGGTCCTTTCGGCCTGCGAGCAAGGCCCCAAAGCTGCGGGAAGTTGCTGTTTAGGGTTTAGGGTTTAGGGTTTAGGGTTTAGGGTTTAGGGTTTAGGGTTTAGGGTTTAGGGTTTAGGGTTTAGGGTTTAGGTTTAGGGTTGGGACGCTGCCCCTTGACTCCCTAAACCTTGAATCCTAGGCCCTGAACCGAAATATGGGGGTTTCCCAAAAATAGGGGCATCACGAATGTACCCAGAAGAGCCCCCCAATAGGGGTGCCCCTATTTTCAGAGTTCCCCTAAACCCTAAACCCTAAACCCCAAAACCCTAAACCCTAACCCTAAACCCCCAAACCCCAAACCCCACACCCTAAACATGAAACCCTAAACCCTAAACCCTAAGCCCTAAGCCCTAAGCCCTAAGCCCTAAACCCTACACCCTAAGATCCGAACCTCCCCGAAGCCGAAGGTCGGCACCCTCAAACCAACAAGGGTTTAGGGTTTGGGGTTTAGGGTTTAGGGTTTAGGGTTTAGGGTTTAGGGTTTAGAGTTTAGGGTTTAGGGTTTAGGGTTTAGGGCCCTGGCTTGAACAGCCGCTGCCTGGCTGTCCGCGCTGTCGCTTCTGCACCAGACATCATGGCGTGGCCTCGAGGCCCGATCGTCCTGTCTTGCAAGAGGCCGTGATTTGAATAGGGCTTTGGCTTTTAGGGTTTAGGGTTTAGGGTTTAGGGTTTAGGGTTTAGGGTGTAGGGTCTAGGGTCTAGGGTTTAGGGTTTAGGGTTTAGGGTTTAGAGTTAGGTGTTAGGGCCCTTGGGATATTTACATTCTCCCTTATAGGGTTTGAGAGTTTGGATTGCCGGGACAGCTTCCCCCCCAAACATGGCCGTACAGAAATTCCGAGACCACTTCGGCATGTTTTGTGTTCGATTGCGCTGGATTGTGCTGGTTTGTGCTAGACTGGTTCTGCTCATGATGGGCCACAACAATTGCGATGTTTAAAGGGTTGCTAGAACGGTTGTTAAGCATGCTGGCTCGTCGTTGGCGCGCCTTACTGCATTCGCCAGGGCAGCGCACGGTGTTAGTTGCTTGCTCATAAGTCAGTGTTGGCCCGCACTGCTTGTCAGCACCTGTGTTCTTCGTACTGTGTTCTTCGTAGATGCTGCTCTAAGCCTAAACCCTAAACCGTTAAACCCCAAACCAAAGCCCTACGGGGCCAGAGCTCCGTGCTGCTGGTCACACAGGGAGCCCAAGGATTTGGTACTTGGTAGCAAGGTAGCATTGGAGGTTTCGGGCTGAGAAATGGGCACAGGCGAATGCCATCGCGGTAGCGACAGCGGTTGCAGCAGCCGTTTCAGTGGGAGCCTGAGATATTGTGGCTTCGGTCTGCGCCGCATTCTCCACCAACCCTTGCGCAGAGGTCGGATCACTGGAGCCCCCGTTCCCCCTGGCGAGGGTAGCGCCGGTACCAGAACTCATGTACCGGTATGTTGCTGAGGGTGCCGTGCCGGCAAGAATGGGGGGTCGCACATGGTCTCGGTGTCATGGGGTGGTTCTATGTACATCGACATGAAATCTAACCTACTTTAACCTACAGCTACAGTAGCAAGGGGACGAGTGACCGAGGGCGAGCAGTGGCCGCGCGGGCTTGTGCTGCTCGCCACCTTTTACCAGCAAGGCTCGTCCCGGAATCAGCTATCAGTCAGGAACTGCAGCACCGAGACCAGTAGCAGTGATCAGGCTTTCATAACCTGCAACAGAATCAGAATGTCACCCAATACTCCCCCTAAACTCTAAACCCCTAGGCCTCCAAACCGAAACTCTTTGTACCCCAAGCTCGAAAGGTCACCCCACAAAATGCATTGGAGTCATTCACAAGGTTGTCCCGAGGGCGGTCTTCATTCTGGGCCGCTCTCTGGGAGGGGTTGATCTAAGGGGTCCATCTTGGGAAATTGCTTCGGGTTCTCATGGGCTTGCATATGAACATAAGGTTCCTTTGAAAACAGGCATGTTGATCTGGATGCATCCGTTGGAGGCGGCGAGTGTGACCTGGCAGCCTGCGGGGCGGTGCTAACAGCAGCTCGGCCAGAGAGACTTCCGTTGACAGCAGGCATAACCATTGACAAAATACCATGACCAGCGATATTCTTAGCCATCAGACTAGTGACTCACCACCGCAACAATAGTCCTTGCGCTAGCCATAGCCATTCTGCGAATCGTGGACCTGAGCCTTCAATCCTCAACCCGACGGGTCTGGTGGCGGGGTCAGCAGGGAAACCTGTGTTTCGTGGAGGGCCAGGACAGGCAGGGTTTAGGGTTTACAGGGCTTAGCGTTTAGGGTTCAAAGGGTACAAGGTTTAGGGTTTAACTGGGGTTTAGAGAGGCAGGCAGATAGCAAGCGGGCACATGAGTGGAGGATCAAAAGGCTGCTGCCCTCGAATCCCCCTGTCTGTCAGGAGTGCGAGCAGTCTGGTCTGCAAAGCGTGGAGACTGACTTGCTTGGCTTCCTTGGCTTCGCGGAGGAAACAATCCGACCACTGTCGTTTCCGTAGACCCTAAAACCCTACACCCCGCCAGCTTGTTGGATGTCTAACCACTTCTCTGAATCATGGTCCTTTCGGGCACCATTAGGCGCCGTAAAGTGTAAGGGCCAGTAGTGTGAACAGGGACCAACATGGGAACACATTTTCGTGGGAAACATCATTATTGGGGAGTGGGGGATTGGCACGCGTCAGAACCGGGTTCGGATTGTGCCAGGCACGAGTTTGGGAGGCCTGTAAGCTCCCTCGTAGAGCTTTGGTATTTGGCTGAAGTCTGGGGTTGGGCAGGTGTCCTTCAGCATTGTTGGGTTTAGGGTTTAGGTTTGGGGTTTAGGGGGTTTGGGTCATCCCCACATCATAGAAAGGTTATCCTTTGGTGACTGGACCCCTAAAACCCCTGAACCCCAAGCCCGAACCCTAAAGCCCGCAGCGAAAAAACCCTGATCGAAGGGCGCAAGTCCGACCGAACCCTAAACCCTGAACCCTAAACCCTGAACCCTAAACCCTGAACCCTGAACCCTAAACCCTAAACCCCAAACCTACGGCAGCCATCTGGCCCAACGTAGCCGGCGAGCTCTGGGGGATGATGAGCGGGGGCACACAGAGCCGACACGGGGGGGGGGTTTTAGCGTTTTGGGGTTTAGGGTTCAGGGTTCAGGGTTTAGGGGTTCAGGGTTTTGGGGTTTGGGGTTTAGGGTTTAGGGTTTAGGGTTTAGAGTTTTGGGGGCTTGGGGTTTGGGGTTGGGGGTTTAGCGGTTTAGGGTTTTGGGGGCTTGCGGTTTGGGGTTTGGGGTTTAGCGGTTTAGGGTTAGTTTTTTGGGGGTTTGGGGTTTAGGGTTTAGGGTTTTGGGGGCTTGGGGTTTGAGGTTTAGGGTTTAGGATTTTGGGGGCTTGGGGTTTGGTTGGGGTTTAGGGGTTTAGGGTTGAGGGTTTTGGGGGCTTGGGGTTTCGGGTTTAGGGGTTTAGGGTTTAGGGTTTTCGGGGCTTGGGGTTTGGGGTTTAGGGATTGGGGTTTAGGGTTTAGGGTTTAAGGTTTTGGGGTTTGGATTTTAGGGTTTAGGGATTGGGGTTTATGGTGGGTTTTGGAGTTTAGGGTGTTGGGGGTTTGGGGTCTGGGTTTTGGGGATTTGGGGTTAGGGATCCGGGCTTGGGATTTGGGATAGGCTAATAGGGGGTTTGGGGTTTAGGGATTCGGGCTTGGGATTTGGGACTGGGGTTTAGGGTTCAGGGTTTGGGGTTTTAGGGATTCGGGTTTGGGAATTGGGACTGGGGGTTTAGGGTTTGGGGTTTGGGAGTTGGGGCTCTGGATCTGGGATTCAGGGTTTTGGGAGTACAACAAGTACAAGGCTCGTTGTCCATGTTCTGGGCAGGGCTGTGTGCAAGAGAAGGTGGCGTGTCTGGGCACCAGAAACCCTAAACCCGAAACCCCAAGCCCTAAACCCTAAACCCTAAACCCGAAACCCTAAACCCTAAACCCGAAACCCTAAGCCCTAAACCCCAAAGCCTCAACCCTAAGCCTTGAAGGGGTGCACATGTTGGCATGCCGAGGCAACATGATGTCGCTCGCCAGGGCTGTTGGCCAGGGACTTAGTGCTCGCGGTCTGGGGTTCAGGGTTCAGGGTTCAGGGTTCAGGGTTCAGGGTTTAGGGTTTAGGGTTTAGGGTTTAGGATTTAGGGTTTAGGGTTTAGGGTTTAGGGCTTAGGGCTTAGGGCTCAGGGTTTAGGGTTTAGGTTCTGGGCAGGTTGTATGAATGTTATGCCTAAATAGGGGTGAGGAGAGTTGTTTGGGCTCTTGTATTTCCCCTTTGAAGGATCCTTGCCCCCCGCAGCCGTAAACCCCAAACCCCCAAACCCTAAACCCCGAACCAGCCCTGGACCATCAACCCTCAACCCTGAACCACTAAACCTCCAACCCCCCTAAACTCTCAACCCCTAAGCGGTCTGAGACTGAAGCCCTAAAGCCTTTAAATTCCTGTCAGCGGTTTGCTGTCAGCCGAGGACTAGTGGCTTGCATTTGCACTCAACACACATCCGGTGGCGGGCTCAGCTTAGTCAAGCTGCCTTTTCTTTGAATCGCCCACTGTTTACCCCCAAAAGTTACGCCCGAAATCCGCTTCCGGACCTTCAGTGCTGTGTGTCGGCCGATCGCAGGTACCGAAGCATTTCATGCCAGTGGCATAGAGGCGCGCATCTGTGCGTAGAAATCAGAGAGCCCCTGAACTCTGAACCCTGAACCACCCTAAGCCCCAAACCCTAAACCCTCAACCCTACACCCTCAACTCTCAACCCTTAAGCCCCAAACCCTGCACCCTAAAGGGCCTACCCCCTTCATTGAGGAACGGGGCTTAGGGTATGGGATCCCCCAGTCCACTCAGGGTTTAGCTCTGACCTTGCTTTGGGCTGCCCTTGTTGGGGCGAGGTCAAACCCCAAAACCTAAAAACCCGAAACCCTAAACCCGAAAAAACCCGAAACCCTCAACGGCCCTGCGCCACCAGGCTTGCAGCGAAGATTTGACCAACCTCCTGCAGATCATACCCGATTGGCAGCAGCGGGGGGCTTAGGGTTCGGGTTTCGAGTTTAGGGTCTAGGGCTTCAGGAAACCCAGCGCCCGAAACCCTGAGCCCAAAACTCCAGAGGTTTCCAGGGCTTCACGGGCTTAGGGTTTAGGGTTTAGGGGCCTATTCAACTCGAACACGTTTGTTGGGTTTAGGGTCGAGGTCTCAAGCCCTAAACTCTACATCCCTAAACCCTAAACCCTAAGCCCTTCGCCCCAAATCCTAAACCCTAAACCCTAAACCCTATACCCAAACCCTAAACCTTAAACCTTTAAACCCTAAACCCGAAACCCTAAACCCTAAACCCGCTGCAGGCTGTCCCATGAGTCCCACCAGGGAGAGCACCTCCACGGCCACGCCCATGGCCACACCAAGGCATGGTTTGGGGGTTTGGGGTTTTGGGTTTTGGGTTTAGGGTTTAGGGTTTAGGGTTTAGGGTTTAGGGCTAGGGTTCAGGGTTGAGGGTTTGGGGTTGGGGGTTTGGGTTCTAGGGTTTGGGGTTAGGGTTTAGGGTTTAGGGTTCAGGGTTGAGGGTTTGGGGTTGGGGGTTTAGGTTGTAGGGTTTGGGGTTAGTTAGGGTTTAGTGTTTAGGGGCTTAGGGGTTTAGGGTTTAGGGTTTAGGGGTTAAGGGGTTTAGGGGTTTAGGGGTTTAGGGGTTTAGGGGTTTAGGGGTTTAGGGGTTTAGGGGTTTAGGGGTTTAGGGGTTTAGGGGTTTAGGGGCTTCGGGTTTAGGGTTTAGGGGTTTAGGTTTAGGGGTTCAGGGTTTAGGGTTTAAGGGTTTGGGGTTTAAGGTTTGGGCGTTTAGGGTTAAGGTTTTGTCGTTTATTTGGGGTTTAGGGTTTGGGGTTTGGGGTTTAGGGTTTGGGGTTGTGGGTTTAGGGTTTAGGGGTTTAAGGGTTTGGGGTTTAGGGCTTAGGCGTTTAGGGTTGAGGGTTTGGCCTTTAGGGGTCAGGGTTTGGAGTTTAGGGGTTAGGGCTTAGGGGTTTGAGTTTGGGGTTTAGGGTTTAGGGGTTAGGGTTTGGCGTTTAGGGTTAGGGGTGCGGGGTTAGGGTTTGGGGTTTAGGGTTTATGGGTTAGGGTTCAGGGTTTGGGGTTTAGGGTTTAGCGGGGGTTAGGGTTTAGGGGTTTGGGTTTGGCGTTTAGGGTTTTGGGGTTGAGGGTTTAGGGTTTACGGGTTTGGGTTTAGTGTTTAGGGGTTAGGGTTCGGGGTTTAGGGTTTAAGGGTTAGGGTTTAGGGGTGAGGGTTTGGGGTTTAGGGGTTTGGGTTGGCGTTTAGGGTTTGGGGGTTGGGGTTTAGGGGTTAGGGTTTAAGGGTTTGGGGTTTAGGGTTTTGGGCTTAGGGTTAGGGTTTAGGGTTTAGGGATTAGGGTTTTGGGGTTTAATGAAACAGGGTTTAGGGTTTAGCGGTTTGTGGACTTAGGCTTTATGCGATTTGGAGTGTACCTACGGTCTATGGGGTTTTGAGTTTTAGGTTTCAAGGTTTACGGGTTTGGGGTTTCTGGGGCCTTGCTGTTGTTATAGCTGTTGCATGGTCATGATGATACTGCCAAGCGCATGGCGGGTATGCTTGGGAGCGCGTTTGCGACTATTGTGGCTTTGGTGACTGTCTTGAATACAACTCCGGTTCTGATAGTTGTTGCTCTGAGACCCTGGAACCGCATGTCGAGTTTTCAGTATCGTGTTAATTCTGGCTGCTCTGCTTCTCTGTCATTGCACTTTTAACTGTTGTTGTTACCGTTTTTTCGCTGTCATGTTATTGCGATTGTCAGAGTTTGGGGCGTCGTTGCCTTTGGGCAATCAAAGGGAGGAGGACGTGAGGGCCCATATTCTACCGTAGACGTTACAGCAAGACCAGCCCCCCCCCCCCCTTGCAGCGCCTGGTTCCTGATGAGAAACCAAAGTTTGCGTCTTCAAGGGTTTAGGTTTTCTAGGGGGTTTAGGTTTAGGGTTTGGGAGATTTAGGGGGCTTAGGGTTTAAAGTTCAGGGTGTAGAGCTTGCGGCAATCGTACCCGTACCGTGAGGCCGGCGCCGCCTCGATCCTTGTCTGATCAGTAGGGTTTAGGGTTTAGGGCTTAGGGCTTAGGGCTTCGGGCTTGGGGCTTGGGGCTTAGGGCTTAGCACTTAGGGTTTGGGGTTTGGGGTTTAGGGTTTAGGGGTTCAGGGTTAGGGTCGGCTTCCAAGCGCCTTTGGGTTTCCCTACCTAACTCTTTAGACGCCTCGGCAACAAAATCCACCCCAGATGCATCTGCGCACCTCTGGTGCACCTTACAGAGCCCAATACCCCTTTGGTTGAGAAGTTAAGAAGATACCTGAGAGTCGAGGAATGCAGAAATAGGGGTCTTTCCATGGGCTGAATCAGGGTTTAGGGGTTGGGGTTCAGGGGTCATGGGAGACCCTCCCATGCACGGCCTGAGCTTCAGCTTGCTCGCGCCCTCGCGCCCCGTGTTCCCGCGCAATGCGGCAGCCGAGGTGGTCCCAGCAGAGCGTCCACCGCCACAAGCATGGTGCGGCGCGGACGCACGTGTCTGCCAACACCAGCAGCACCAGTGGCACAGCCAGCTGCGTGCCTCGGCAGTGTGGGTCTCATTGCACGGCCCAAATCCCGAACATGAAAGCGTGGTCACCACTCTCTCTTTCCCAGGCTATAGGAAGCCAACGCACGTGAGCTCTTAAAGGCGTGAGCTGTTAGAGGCAAAGGATACATTGAGGGCGCTTGCTGAGGCAGACCTCATCCACCAGTGCCGTACCGACTTTGATTGGGACTCCTGCGTGGGCTTCGAGGCTGACTGCTACAACCCAGCGAAGGCAATGGAGGGGCTGTTAGGGTTCGGACGGTTTCGGGCCCAGACTATTGCACTAGGGAGACCCCCCGACCCCCAAACCAAAAAAGGAAGGATTTAGAGTTTAGGGTTTAGGGTTTAGGGTACTTCCCTCCGCCACCGAGACATGTTTATAGGGGCCGACTCAATTCGCATGATCTTTCGCGTAGCTCTTTACCATCTTCTTGGAGAGTATATAAAAGGGGTGAAGCTTGCTAACTGTTCAGGTTCCTGTGAAATCCCAGAATCTAAAAGAAGTTATATGGGACCTCCCTTAAAGGTTTCTGAAGTGTGGGCCGTAGGGTAGTATGGGGTTTTTAAGGGGTCCCCTTGTAAGAGCCCATACTAAGGGACCTGTAACTAGCCTAAGACAGAACAGGAATCTGCAACCACCGCGCACAGGCAGCCAACTTAATGATCCAGATCGGAGAGTACGAGCAGCTTCTGGGTTCATGTGTGTATGGATGAGGAACTCTGTGCTTAGACCCTAAGCCCGACACCCTAAACCCTGAACGCTGAACCCTAAACCCAACCCTAAACCGCAGCAAGAGATTTTCCAAACTCGCCAACTATGCCACCCTCCGCCCTCAGGAATCCTTTCATGGGTTTCGGGTTTAGGGCTTAGGGTCCCCCAGACTCTACCAAAAGCAAAAGCACCCCCAAAAGCCCCGAAATCAAGAATCCTTCCAGGGGCTTTAGGATTGAGAAGTTGAGAATTGAGGAGTCAAAATCTGCAGAGGCTTGTTTTTGAAACCTGGACCCTTCCCCTTCACGATCATCCTTTTGCGGTACAAAGTTAATGTAGTACTCCTATCCTGCAGAGACCCAGGACCCAGGCCCTCGATGGTGATGGCGCGCCGGTGGTGAGGACGAACTTGGACTGCGCGCCCTGCCGGCACTCGGGTTTTTGGTGTTTAGGGTGTAGGTCCGGTAGCTGGACCCAAAACCCTCCACGCTAGTTAGAGCCTAAGCCGGAGGAGCCCCTAGTTCTCTTACGCCCAAAGTCTCCCAAACCCCTTAAGATAGCTCCCGGCTCCTTGCAAAGAGTTGAGTTGTTTGGGGTCTAGGTTTGCAGGTTTAGGGACGGGTCGTCATATAGGGCGGTAAAGGTCCTTTGCAGGGTCCCTTCGTGTCCCTCCGAGAATCATGTTTACCCCTTACGAGGCCAAAACTCCTCGCGGAACCCCCCCCCCCCCCCCTCCTCCAAACCCTAAGCTCTAAGCCTAAACCCCAAATCCTAAAACCTAAGCCCTAAACCCTCAATCCTATGCCCTAAGCCCTAAACCCTAAACCCAAATCCTAAGCCCTAGACCCTAGCCCCTACACCCTAAACTCTAGACCCTAAACCTAAGCCCCAAACCAACTCCCTACACCCCCCTCCATGCCCAGGAGTCCTGGGGCACACGATGCCAGAGCCGAGACTGGACGGCGTGCCTCTACTACGAGGACCACTGCCAGCAGAAGGCCGCGCCGGGGCTCAGGGCTCAGGGTTCAAGGTTAGGGTTTAGGGTTTTTAGTTGAGGGTTCAGGGTTCAGGGTTCAGGGTTTAGGGTTCAGGGTTTAGGGTTTGGCATGCAGGGTGAGGAGAGCAAGCACAGAAGGCACTTAACAGTGCGTGGGAATGGACTGAATGCCCTGTAGAGAGACGAAGGCTCCAGCTCCGGTGCAGCTTTCGAGCCTTGGCGGCCAGATTCAGCCATCTTTTCGGGTTTCAATGGAGAATGGCGCGCAATTCTGGCTGTTGGACCCAAGAGTAAAACGTCCGCACGTGTCCAGTCACTTCTCTGCGGCCCTTGGTTTAGGGTTTAGGGTTTAGGGCTTAGGGTTTAGGGTTTAGGGGTTAGAGTATCTGGAGGCCCCAAAATGCGAAAGTGTTGGGGGAAGTTCCGTGACGCCGCCCTGGAGCTTCGCCAACTAAGCTTCAACGTCAGGTTAGCTTTCACCAGCAGCAGCCGTTCGCAGCCGCCCCTCGCCAAAGAGTTCTCCGTGTTGTGCTTTTGCAGGTTTTGGGAATCACCAGCATGCGCGCATGGAATTCGACTGTAATATGCCTGTGACGAAGCATGGAGGTGCAGCAGTGGCAGTCAAGCCCGACACCCGAAACCAAAACCGCAAACCCTAAAGCCCAAACCCTAACCCCTACACCCCAAACCCCCAAACCAGGACTCCAAGTGCTCGAAGAGTGGATGACGGACAGGATTGTGAATCTTGGCAAGCATTCGTTTGGCTTGATCGCGCTGGGCACGGACAGGTCAGTTTCCGTCGTGCAACTGCGTGCCTTTTGGGTACCGGAAGCAGCCATACTGTTATACTCCGCCACAATTACCAACAAGAATCAGTACTCACGATATTTGCGTGAATGATAGTACCTACCACCTTTAATATTCCTGACTCGTAATCATGAAGACCCTAAGACCCTATATAATGAACATACAAAGAATATCAATGAACCCTAAACCCTAAACCCCAAGAATGCCCATGATGGATCCCCCCCCCGTCTGCTTCGGTGCTGTGGGGTCATCGGAGTGGACCAAGGGCTCTCTTGCGGGACCGCAAACTTTGTAGCCAAGCCGGTCTAAACTCTTAACCCAGCATCCGAACTCCCTACCAAGACCTCAGTGAGAAACAAGCCCTAAACCCGAAACCCTAAACCCTAAACCCTAAACCCTAAACCCTAAACCCTAAACCCTAAACCCTAATCCCTAAACCCTAAACCCTAAACCCCAAACCATCCCAGGAGGGTCTGATCGCGCAGTGCCACAACAACTTTGATTGGTTCGCGTGCACAAGCTATGAGGCGCAGTGCACCCGCCAGGCGCAGGTCGCGGCCTTAGTGTTTAGGGTTTGGGGTTTTGGGGTTTTGGGGTTTTGGGGTTTTGGGGTTTTGGGGTTTTGGGGTTTTGGGGTTTTGGGGTTTTGGGGTTTTGGGGTTTTGGGGTTTTGGGGTTTTGGGGTTTTGGGGTTTTGGGGTTTTGGGGTTTTGAGACTTTAGGGTTTTCAGGGTCTGGGGGTTAGGGCAAGGTTCTGGGGCTCTGGTGTTCAGGTTCAGAGTTTAGGGTTTAGGGTTTAAGGTTTAAGGTTTTCGGGAGTTCGTGGGCTTGGGGCTCTGGGAATTGTGACTGCCTTGCAGCTACGGATCCCTGAGCGACTTGCTAATTGTTGGCTGTCGCCTACGGGACACCCCAGTGGTGCCTCTGGATGATAGAAGGAGGAACAGCAACTATGTCTATATAGTCATAGTAGTCGTAATTGGAATAGCAATAGCGATGGCAATGGTAATGGTGATGGTAATGGTGATGAGTCTCATTCGACATGATCTATTCAGAATACATGTCATGCTGCGGGATAGTCATGCCATTTGTATGAAAAAAAACCTAAACCTAAACCCTATACCCTAAACCCTCAACCCCTCAACTTGCCCTCAACCCTAAACCCTCAACCCCTAATCAAGCAGCGCCGCGTCAATCTCCAGATGTAGAGCCCCTCTGAATTGAGAAGCTCTGAAAAGCCTCATGACCCCCTTTCTCCATCAGCTATGAGCAAACCTTTGAGGGTCTCAGGGTTTAGGTGCTTAGGGTTTTAAATCCTAAACCCTACGCCCTAAACCCCAAACCCGAAGTTTAGGGCTCCAAGTTTTTTTTAGAATGGTTCTAAGCCCCACAGACGACCGTTTTTTTGGCACTAGGCCCGGGCAGCCGCGACGCTGTGAGGTCTGCCTCCCCCAAGGCACCTCCGGGCTGGTTTAGGGGGTTCAGTTTGGGGTTAAAGGGGGTTTAAAGGGGGGTTAAAGGGGGTTTAGGGTTTAGGGTTTAGGGTTTAGGGTTGAATTAGGGGAGTCTCTGTCGACTTCATCTTTCACAATGGACAGGATCCCGATCAGAAGGCTTCTAGCAAGCCAGTGACAATTGCAGCTTTGCACAACCGAGCCGATTGCTCAGTATGCAGCTCTGTCGTTCACTGACAAGCAATGTACTGCTGCTAGCTTAAGAACCCACCAAGAAAAAAATCAACAACAAACAAGTAGTATTTCTCACAAGGGCAATATAGCGATTCCATTGTTTCGGTGGTCAGCTGCCTCTTTTCCAAGGACCCCCTCTCTCTGGCGCGGCAATCGAATTGCGTCCTTTCATCAGCGCAGCACGCTTCTGCTACTTAGCCGACCGTGCCGTGGGGTTTCGAAGAAACCTATCCAGCGGCCGACAGACGCTGATCTATTCAGAACAGTTGGGTTTAGGGTTTAGGGCTTAGGGTTTAGGGTTTAGGGGTTGATCTATTTCTTGGGCCTCTATTTGGGGACCCTAGGCTAAAACGGGGGCGCAAACATGAAGATTACCACCCATTTGCAAAACCAACTTGCATTTTCACTGTCCTTCGGCATTTTTTGCCCAAGTAAGATGTCTCCTCGTTGTTGGGGTTCAGGGTTTTGGGGGCCTTTCTCCTGAGCTTCTTAATGTGAAGGGGTGTACGACCCCTATTCCCCCACATAACCCCTATATATGCCTTCTAGAATCCCTATATACTTAAGGCCCCTAACACCCCTCCAAGAGCCCCTAAGGTGCCTTGTAAGGGTCCCTCATAAAGACCCTTGAAGTTGGCATGTTCCCCCTTATGCTAACAGTCCTCAGTCGGGATTATCGTGCCCCTTCTAGAATCGCTACATACCTAAGTAGCCCCTAAAGAACCCTCAAAGAACCCCTAAGGTCCCTTCGAGGGGTCCCTCCTTTAGTCCAGAACGTGCCATCCGCCCAAGGACAGTTTTGTACAACCCATCGGGACTGTGGAGTCCCGTTGATACTGGCCCGGCCGCGGACTCGGATTGTGCCCCTAAACCCTAAACCCTAAACCCTAAGCCCTACGCCCTAAACCCTAAACCCTAAACCCAAATTCCCACCCAGGCCTGCTTAGGCCGTACCCACCCTTCTCTAGGGTGCCTGGACCCAGAAATCACCCGACAGCGATTAACACCATCGCTTGGACTTCCTGTGCAAGCCTAAAGAGTTGTGTTGAGCGTGAGCTGCGCCTCCAGTGCCGGTGCAGTACCCCGCCTGGGGTACCCCGCCCCCCTTCTCCGATCCCCCCCTACCGCCCCCCTCCGGAGCCCCCTGGTGCCGGGCCACTGTCGGAGCGTGTCCAGGGAGCAGAGGGGCCGCAAGGCAGGTCAGCCTGGGCGATTGCTCAAAAACTACCAAACCCAGCAACCCCCTGGCCTCCCCTGGCCCCGGCCCCTGGCCCGCCCTGGCCCCCCCTGGGCCCTGCTGGGCCCCCTGTACCCCCCTCCCCGCCGTTCCCCCTCCCTCCCCCCCCCATCCCCCTCCCCCTCACCCCCCCACCCCCCCCCCCCCCCTCCCCCCTCCCCCCCCAATGGGGCTTGTTTTTGGCCGTCCCGGCCCTTTTTCTGGATTCTGGCGCCAAATCCCCCACAGCCACGGCAACCTCCTATTCAACCCGATCAAAGGATGGGGGTGGGAAGTGGGAATTTAGGGCGTTAGCCCGAAACCCTAAAAGGAGAAAAGTTGGGTGGATGCCTGCGTAAGCAGGGGGTGGGAAAAATAAAACAACCCAACCTTTCTGGTTGTGGTGGCTCCAACTTCAATATACGCCGCCGCGACATATGCCGCCCCCTCACACCCCCTGGGTGTGTTGGGGCGCCATCTCCGCATGACATCTACTGCCGCGGCGCGGCGAGACGCCCTAAACCCTAAACCCTAAACCCTAAACCCTAAACCCTAAACCCTAAACCCTAAACCCTAAACCCTAAACCCTAAACCCAAACCCTAAACCCTAAACCCTAAACCCTAAACCCTAAACCCTAAACCCTAAACCCTAAACCCTAAACCCTAAACCCTAAACCCTAAACCCTAAACTTAAGCGAGCTGCGGGCGCTGCGATAGCCAGCTGCGAGCGTGCAGGGGGCGACAGCCCCTGCCAGCTCCGGAGCGTGCGCGACAGTCGCTGCGAAGGAGCTCCGTTAGCTGCACCGGCTCGGTGCCGGCGCACGCGACAGGCATGCCGGATCTGCTAGAGAGATATGACCCCAAACCTTGGGCTCGGACCGGTGCATCCTTTAGGATTAAGGATTTAGGATTTAGGGACAAATTCTGAGCTTTTTTTGGGCTCCTCCAAACCATTTCTGAGAGTTTGGGTTTTTCTAGGCTTTTTTGGACTCCTCCAACTATTTCTGAGTCTCCAGGACCATTTCCGAGCCTTTTTTGGGCTCCGACCATTCCTGAGAGCTTTTTGGGCTCGCAGGCCCGGTTTTCCGGACTATTTCTGAGCCTTTTTGGGCTCCTCCCGGACAATTTTTTTGGCTCCTCCCAGGACCATTCTGAGCCTTCCCAGACCAGATCCCAAAGCATAAACCTCGGACCTTTCATACCTTTCTGGGTCTTTCCCAGACCATTTCTGAGCTTTTTTGGGCTTTTCAGAGACCAGTTCTCAGCTATCAAGTCCCCCAAATCCCAAAGCACAAACCTCCGAGGCATAGCGCGGAATAAGATTCGAGCAACTATATATTTGAGAGGAGAGCCGACAACAAATACATATGAAAACCCTAAACCCGACCAAGGTCATAAATTGGGCGGGTGGGTTGGGTGAGGACGTGAACCTTGGCGCACACCACAACACACGCCCTGTGTGGTGGTGTGCGCGGAGCATGTGACACACCCTAAACCCTAAACCCTAAACCCTAAACCCTAAACCCTAAACCGTTAACCCTTAACCCTTAACTCTTAACCCTTAACCCTTAACCCTTAACCCTAAGCCCTAAACCCTAAACCCTAAGCCCTAAACCCTAAACCCTAAACCCTAAAACCTAAACCCTAAACCCTAAACCTTACTTCAGGCAATGGCCTCTTTATGAAGGGGTAACTGTCAAAATGGCCCGCAACAGAAACAGATTTGGGAAGAGATTCCGTAAAGATTTTTAGGGTTCAGGAAATTGGGACCCCCGCAGGCCCGTGACAGAAACAGATTTGGGAAGAGATTCCGTGATTTTTTTCAGGGTTCAGGGTTTAGGAACCCGGCCAAAGCTGAAAGAGGCCACCTGCCACAACCACCCCCCCAAGCGCATGTTTGAGTAGGGGCCAAAGCTGAAAGAGGCCACCTGCCACAAGTGGTCTTTCGCCCAAAGTCCTGTAGACACCCCCCCTGAATGTCCAAGGCACATGTTTGAGTAGGGGGGGCCAAAGCTGAAAGAGGCCACCTGCCACAAGTGGGCTTTCGCCCACAGTCCTGTACCTAAAGAGGCCACCCCCCCTGAATGTCCAAAGCACATGTTTGAGTAGGGGGGGCCAAAGCTGAAAGAGGCCACCTGCCACAAGTGGGCTTTCGCCCACAGTCCTGTAACTAAAGAGGCCACCCCCCCTGGCCTCTTTATGAAGGGGTGACTGTCAAAATGGCCCGTAACAGTAACAGATTTGGGAAGAGATTTGAGAAGAGATTCCGTAAATATGTTGTTTTTGAGTGTGGACATTGAAGAGGGCTGGCCTCTTTAGTTACAGGGCTTTGGGCAAAACCCAGCTGTGGCGGGTGGCCTCTTTCAGTTTTGGCCATGGCCTGTTTAGCTACATGACTTTGGGCGAAAGCCCAGTTGTGGCGGGTGGCCTCTTTCAGCTTTGGCCCCTTTTGCTCAAATATGTGTTTTGGACATTGAGGCCGGGCAACACATTTCCTAAAGTAGTTAGTGTCGTTTTGGTGACCAGAGCCGGGCGACACATTTCCTACAGTAGTTAGTTGTTTTAGTGGCCAAAACCGGGCGACACATTTCCTAAACTAGTTAGTCGTTTCTCTGGCCAAAGCCGGGCGACACATTTCCTAAAGTAG